GTGTGTGTGTGTGTGTGTGTGTGTGTGTGTATGTGTATATATACATCGAGCAGTATAAAATGAGAGAATGTCATAATAATAATAAGCAAAAAGATTGTGTGTCATGTCACACGTGTCATCACTCATGTGATTGACTTGCAGAGCACCTATGACTAGCAATAATCATGTTTTATTATTAAATGGATCAGTAGCTCACTTTTGGTAAATAACTCTACAAGCCCCCTGTTATTACCTGTTTGTTTGCGAGAGTATGTTTTATCTGCCCCACCTACTATATTTTCTTGACAAGGCTGATGCTCTATATACATTAATTGTTTCAGGTGTGGGAACATTAACTGGGCAAAGTGCATGAAGTGCAATATATGTAACACCAACAAGTCAGGTCACAGTGAGTGTGGTGTGAGGTAATAGGTCATGAATAGATTAGTCATGCTCTTAGGGTATTTGAATCCATATATGGATATAAAATTGTTCTAAAAGCATTTAGGGTTTACATTACCAAACAGATTAGTTTTTTTGTATATTCTCCTGTTTCAACTTGTTGCTTATTCTATGTGTGTTCTATTTCTCTATATCTATGCTTATGCTTGATAAGCATGCTAGAAATGCAATTGCTAATGGTTATCAAGCAAGCAAACAAGCATGTATGTTCATTTGGCTTTAGTCATATAGGACTGTTGGTCATCGGTGATACATGGACACACACTTTGCTTCCGGCGCCTGAGCATATGGACTTATTTTTTCTTAATTGAACATGTTTGTGTATGTTTTCATTGCTTAATTGAGCCATCTTATGTTATTTTTTTTTGTCATATTCTTGGTTATGTTGTTTTATTTAATAGAGGAGGCTGTGCTGGTGGATACAAGGAACTTGATGAAGAAGAGATAGAGGAAACAAGGCGATGACGGAGAGAAGCTGATGAGGTAGATGATCTTGTAACCTTCTATGGTGATCTTTTTTCTTTAATCTTTGGATTCTAATATTGCATTCTTGGCTTCCAGGATGATGGGGAAATATATGATGAATTTGGCAACCTTAAGAAGAAATTCCATGCAAAAACACAACAGGCTGAATCTGGACAGATGGTTCCTGGTTCTGGACGTGCTGGATGGGAGGTTGATGAGATAGGTATTTTTTTAACCATTTCTCAAGAGTTCAGAGACCTAACTACATTCTGTCGAAGAATTTATTATCCTTTTCTGTTTCACTTTTGTAGATGCTTTTATGAAAAAATAAATAGCTACTTTGTAATCCACTGCTGTTTTTGTAGTTTGCAGTTAATTTATGAAAGTTCTAATATGCATATACTCTTAGATCCTATTGTCTCCATTGCTATGGTGAGAAAGAAGGGGATACTCTGCCAAACCATCAGCATTTGCTGCAAAGCATTGATGACAAGAAAGAAGGGGATACTCTGCCTATTAACTGCTTGCTATTAATTATTATTTGCGCTGATTAATTTTTTATTCTATAAATTAATTTTAATTCTTGTTATACACTATACTACATTGTTAGAAGGATTCCTTAACTATTAATTATTATTTGCGCTGATTAATTTTTTATTCTATAAATTAATTTTAATTCTTGTTATACACTATATTACATTGTTAGAAGGATTCCTTAACTATTAATTATTATTTGTGCTGATTAATTTTTTATTCTATAAATTAATTTTAATTCTTGTTATACACTATATTAAATTGTTAGAAGGATTCCTTAACTAACATATCCATACTGCATTCAATCCTATTTTTGGAAGATTTGACATATCGGTTTATCTGTATCGTTTATCCTCTTGCAATTAATTATTATTTGTGCTGATTAATTTTTATTCTATAAATTAATTTTAATTCTTGTTATACACTATAATACATTGTTAGAAGGATTCCTGAACTATCATATCCATACTTCATTCTATCCTATTTTTGGACGATTTTACATATCAGTTTATCTGTATCGTTTATCCATAACATGCTTCCTAGTTCTTTTTACCCTTTCTTGTGTCTGCAACCTTTGGTAGAAAGATGTTTTTCTACTTTCTGCATTCTTCATGACTTAATTGGTTTTCTATTTCTTATCATATCTTTGTTGTTATATCTTCTAGGTTATAACTGGTAATATGCCTATATGCTTCAACAATTTGCCTGTGAATTGAAATATCAGGTGTATGATCCCACGATTATCCTATGACCACGTGCTTAAAATGTAAAACTAATAGTCTAATACATCCTATTCTCAACATGTTTTACTTAGTTACGAGGATTTGAACTTTTGCTTTGATGTTTTACTTAGATATCTTTATCAACATATGTGCTGTTCTGCATAATTGTTTTACTCTTTTTTCATGGCATTTACTAGTTATGACTGGGAGACATGGTATGGATAAAAGCAGAGATAGCAACAAGCGAGAAAGCAGCAAGAACCGAGAAATAGATGGTCCTGAGAGGGAAAGGCGCTGAAGCCGAAGCAGAGAAAAGGAGAGGGAGTGTGAGAAGGAAAGGCGGAGAGTTTCAGATACAGAGCACCTAGTACAAAAGATGTTGGTGATTGGTAGTAGTGCTTAACCAACCCTAGATTTGATTACTGTGCATTCTCTTGATATCACAGCGTTGAAGTTTTGTTATTCAAACTGTCTTATGTTGCCTGTACTTGGAAGCTTTATGCTAAAATTCTCAGTTCCACACTTATTTCCTGCAGTTCTTTGTTCTACCAACTAATGTCATGCTGTTCTATGAACTTATGAAGCCAATCTGCCTGATACCTCTCGTGGCTTAAGTGATAGTTGCTGTTACAGAGTGCAAGCATTTTTATTTAGCAGTCATGTGCACTGTTAAAGACAACGTGTTTCATACAGGTCTCCCGTACGGGTCTTCATCTGTAATAAACTCGATTGTTCCACTTCACCCGTTGATCGTTTGACTCGAAGCAGAGCGGGGACCACATCACTTGATTCAATCCATATGCAGGTATCCAATCTGGACGCCGTGCCCGAGTGGATTAAGTACTGCTCTTCCTCGCCACTACCCCTTCTCGTGTTTTCCGGTGGTCCCCACGTATCAGATTTTAACGCGATGCGGAGCAAGCAAAGTCTCATCCGACCGTCCCCAACATTTACCCTGTTAGTTATCCGTCCGTTTAGTAGGACCCGAAGAATCAACAAATGGGTGACGAGCGGGGTCGCATCGGGCGTGTTAAAAGACTTCACTGCCATAAAGCGGCACCCCACCACCATATAAAGCGGCAAATATATATCTATTCCAACGGATGATGTCGTTTGAACGAAAAGATCAGACGGACGGTACCCTCCGAATATCGCCCTTTTAAATAGACGTCGAGTGGGACTTCGAGTTCATCTCTTTGACTCTCGATTTCGCCGATCGTCACTCCCCTCTTCCTCCTCCTCCTCCTCGTTTCGGTCTCAGATCCTCTCGCGGTGAGTGATCACCTAATCTCTTGTTTGATTTCGTACACCTTTCTTGCTGTTAAGGGTTCTTTGTACAGTTTCTTTGGTTCTTTTAATTTGAAATCTTTCCTTTTTTCCTTTCGGTCTAATTTACCGTCGACGAAATCAATTCCGAGTGATCTTTTGGTACCTGTGATCCGATCGTGCTGTGGTATGAGAAATTTTAGGGTTTCTTTACTAGAGTCCACTGTATTTAGATGATTTTGTTGTTTGATAGGTAATCATGGGAACAAGATGCGGGGTGGTTGTGATTCCTCTTCTTCTCTCGATCTTGTTGCTTGTTTCTGCTGTTCCGGCATCGGCCGAGGAAGATGGATTTATCAGGATTGGCCTGAAGAAGAAACCCTTAGATGAAAGCAGCAGGCTTGCGTCACGGATAATGGACAAGGAAAGGAAGAGCTTGATGGGCCGGAAGTATGGACTTGGAGATGGTCTCGAGGACGAAGGAGATGCTGATTATATTTCCCTGAAGAACTACATGAACGCGCAGTACTTCGGGGAGATCGGCGTTGGAACACCTGCGCAGAAGTTCACCGTGATATTTGACACTGGCAGCTCAAATTTGTGGGTTCCATCTGCCAAGTGTTACTTCTCGGTTAGATTTTTGTTCCCTCTTATAATTCTCTGAACGTTTATTTTGTGCAGTATCAGTTTGTAACTTCATATGTTTATCTAATTTATGTTCTGCAGTTGGCTTGTTATTTCCATTCGAAGTATAAGTCAAGCAAGTCAAGCTCCTACAAAAAGAACGGTTTGTAGTTTCAATTCTTTTTTCTGATCTCAATACTTTCAATTTCTCTTTTATGAGCTACACTTTCATTAATGTGTTTATGATATTTTTTTTAAAAACAAGAATATTTAATGGTTTGCAAGTTTCATGATGAAGTATTAATTTAATATGATTCTAATGATAGAATGTCTACATATTTTGTTAAAATTGTAGGGGGTGAGAGGGGGATCCCTAACTTTTAACGTCTCTTGTGACCACCTGTTTCATCCCATTTGTTTGATGTAATAATTAACGTCCCTTGTAGAGATACTTCAGCAAAGATGAACATGTAATTGAGGTTAGCGTATCACTTTCTCTTGTTCACCGGGACAACTAAAGATGCACTTTGGTACTTTCTGTGGGGTGCATTTGTGGACTCCCAGGGTGTATGCACACACAAACACATGTAGATGGGTATGTAGATGAATCATTCAAAACCAAGTGATAGGCAGAAAAAAGGAAAGCTCCATTTATCCATGCGAAATTCCATTTGTGCAGATATTTATGGTTCCTGAGTTCATCAAATTGCTTTTTTTTTTATCTGGAAAATAAATCATTATACAGGTCTTCAGCGTAAGAGTATATTTATCTGCATAACTGACCTGTAAACAATGATGTAGCGAAAAGTGATGACATATCAGAAAAATGGCCGATAACTTGTCCAGTAAAGTGACATATTAGCAAATTATCGTGTTAGTGGTTGGATATCACTGAAATATGATAAACAACTATTTTCAAGAGATCTTTAGTATATTCATGGGCCAAGGAAACAGCAGAATGGCAACCACTTCTACATTCTATTTGTGATTTCTGGTTGTAAATTGAAAAACCTGTTGTCCCATTGCGATTAGGACATGAACAACGTTATATTGCATCCATTATTGACTTATTTCCAGACTAGCCTACAGATTCTTCAAGCTGGGGTAGGTTCCTTTAGTTGCAGTATCACAATCTTATTTTCATTTCCCCTGAAGTTTTTAGTGAACAATATCTGCATTATTGTTTGTTTTCTTGTCCTGTATTGTTTAATGTTGTCTTTACAAAGCACCTTCATGTTTTCATTTGAAAATTATTTTCTTGTAAGCAGGGAAGCCAGCAGCCATTCGCTATGGATCTGGGTCAATTTCTGGTTTTTTTAGTCAAGATCATGTTACGGTTGGTGATCTAGTTGTCAAAGATCAGGTTAGCAATAGCAATAGCTTCACTGAATTCCTCCATATATAGTTCATTCATTCTAGTCATTCAAGTCTCTGCTCAAGTTTTGAACTCATAAACTGATGTTATTTAGGTTTTTATTGAGGCCACCAGAGAGCCTAGTGTCACGTTTTTGGTTGCAAAATTTGATGGCATACTTGGACTTGGATTTAAGGAAATATCAGTTGGCAATGTTACACCTGTGTGGTATTGTGACCATTACTCTTCAGAACTTCTCTTCTTAAGATATGCTTCCGTTATTACTTCCAATAATCATATGCCTTATTAGGCTTCTCCACATCATGTCTTATGAAGTTTTCACTATGTTGAAAGAAAGGCTTTATTGACTGAATGATTGATCAATTATATTTCTATTGACAGGTACAATATTGTTGAGCAAGGCCTTGTAAAAGAACCTATTTTCTCTTTCTGGTTTAATCGAAATTCCGAGGACGGGGAGGGAGGTGAAATTGTATTTGGAGGTGTTGATCCAAGTCATTACAAGGGTGAACACACTTATGTTCCTGTGACTCAGAAGGGATACTGGCAGGTAATATCTGAACCCCTTTTTTGTCTGATCATTCAGTTGGATGCTGACACATGCCATGTCCTTCTATGTTTACTAATATATTGGCTGTTGTTACTGGTTCATGCTGGATGACAGTTTAAGATGGGAGATGTCATGATTGGTGGCCAATCTACTGGTAATGCATATGGATTTTTATATCACCCATTATCATTTGATATTTTTCCTTTTACCAGCTTTTAAGATGTAATTTGTACATTGTGCTATCTGTCAGGGTATTGTGCTGGTGGTTGTGCAGCAATTGCAGATTCTGGAACTTCTTTGCTTGCTGGTCCAACAGTATGTTAATCTTCTGGTGGCCCTTTTTAATAACTGAGCCCCATCCCTCCCCCCCCCCCCCCCCCTTGTTTGCTTTAGAAAGCAGTCTTAAATCTATAGAATCTGCTTGTGGTAGATATAAATACACAACACACTTTGATTCTTTACATGTTGCAGTTTTTCTCTTTTCTAAATGTTTTGATTGCCCAAACATAGTTCTTCTGTTATTTGGAAAGACGAAACTTGACCTCATTAGTGTTGTGCTCATCTTTCATTTTTCCTAATCGAACATAGACATGGTATCTCTTCTTCGCTAGTGTTTTTCACAGTAGAATTTTACTGTTATCGATTTTGTAACTTGAGTATATACAATGGGATAATTTTTTGATTTGTATGATGTAACTTCTATGTTTTTTGTCTGGGAATTTATCTCTTTTCCAAGTAATTGATGGAGGAAAAACTTTCTGAGTGTTCGTGTTGTTACAGCTGTGGGCAGGAAGAGGTTTTTTCTGTTTTTTTGAAGTGTTTTCTGAAGAATTAAAAAATATATTTATTTCATCTATGATAATAATTATTACATGAGAAATAATGACTTTAAGAATACACAAATTATTTGTGCCATCCGTTCTGTGTCAAATGTAAAAAGCATGGGATACTATTGAGGAAAATGATAACGAAGACCATGTGATCGACAACCTCTTGAGACCTTATGTCTTTGACTATTTGTTGGAAGTGTGTACACTGTTGACCGGGTAGCATTACTTCATGTTATTCATGCTTTGAAGGCATGAGATATTGTAAGGTTGATAGTCTGCTGCTGTACTATAGGATAATTAATCATCATTAGCAAGAAAAAAACCTAGAAAACAGTCTTCTTAATCAATTAATGCACTAAATTCCAGCTTCTAAGGTGTAGCTCTTTTTCACCCTGAATAAAAGAGTTTCTCAAGATCTTTCATGGTCAACAAAGCGTATTTTCTCTGTCAAGACACAAAGTAGTGTGATGCAGGTTTTTGCCATGATAAATGTGAATCATGCCAAGACAAGACAATCCTAACTTTTTTGGGTTATTCAACAGACAGAACATGGTAAGTTGGATAATTTTGTTGCATTCAATTGGATTCAAGATAAGT